TCCCCGCCGGGTGTTTGCTGGGTCAACGGTAAAAAACCTGTTTGCCAAGCTTTGTTCAAACAGGGCGTAAGTAAGAATTAGGTCCCCTCGGAGGCGACGGTACTCCAGGGGAAAGAGATCAAGCATCGCGAGACGCGTTTCGTAGTCCACGGATTTGAGGCCGGCAACCATTCTCGTGGTGGCCCGCTGGACACGCTCAATGAGGGTGACGTCTTTCGTACGTCCTGAGTAGACAACTTGGTTGGCGTACTCCACGAGCGGTCTGACGTAGGCCCCACCTGATCTCTTGGTGGTAGACAGTGAAATAGTTACTTCCCGACTGGAGCTGCCTTCCGCATAGCCATAACTACAGCTGGTTAGAAATTCGGGCGCCATCAGGGAGCCGCGTTAGCAACTGCCCTTCTGCAGATACTGGGACAAGGTCAGCCACCAGGCAGTCACGACTATTCGGAGTCGGTGTAATATGCACGCCATGGCGGCATCAGGGGACAGTGGTTCACCAAAGGCAGGGTTCCATGAAAATTTTTGTGGATAGAAAACCAAAACTTACATATAAATCAACCAAAACGGCGGGCTCTGTGCTACGCTGGCGACGAGGCATGACCTGTATGTACCATTTCTTCTAACCAATCACGTGCAAGTTGGGATGACCGGTCTTTGCATACCCTTAGACGCACATGTAGTATGGAAGCAGCAGGGGACAGTGATTCTCCGAAAGTATGGATTCACAACAATTCCTGTGGACAGAAGACAGAAAGAAAGATCATGAGCCGAAGAAAACTAAACAACTTTAAAGTGGCAGATACCGTGTATTACACTGGCCCCCTTTTAGAGAAACACTGTCCTCGGTTTACGATGGTCCACATGAACCGGCTTTCGCTAGTGGTGTGGTGCGTGAGGCTATTCAAATACATGAGACACCGTTGGAGAAACAAGCCAACCACCTCCTTGATGGACAGAAACGGGGAATCCACAAATGACCCAATGGTCGTATCTGGTTTACAGAGAACACTCTGCAGGCCCGCATTCTGTCCCAGCGATCTCGTCACATCCAGGCTTGTCAGGAAGTAGCTACGAGCTGCCGCTAACAAACGTGGTTTGCACTGAGGAGGACATTCGCCAACTCTTGGACAAAACTAACCAGTTTAGCCTTTTGGGGCTGGACGAGGTCCATCCGAGGAATAATCACTCACACTGACAAGGCGTTTCTACCTAATCCCAGTTAGCACCGCTGCAGAAATTTCTGCAGAATGTCTGCACCCGAGTGCGGACATTTCCGCACAAGTTCCGCAGATTTCTGCACCCGGGTGCGGAACCAGTGCGAAAATGAAACAAGTTTCCGCACAATGTCCGCACACTTCTGCACCCGGGTGCGGAAAATCCGTACCCAGTACCGGGATTTCCGCACCCAGTCCGCACTTAGCTAAAGTCGTTCGACGCGCAAATATAGCCCATTATACGGATTTATCCCTTTCCCTAGTACGATTCAGTAACATCTTAAACACTAAGTGATAACCCATCTGCCCCCACAATTGCTCAGCGTATTACCTTTCCGGATATCAATAAGCGCCTTCAAGTACAAATGTTTTAATGAGCGAATTATAAAAAAATGCAGAGGGAAGATCATTTGTCACTCTTGGTGGCTCTCTGCAGGCGTTTCCGAACCTTCTGCCGTTCGTTCTCCAGCCAGCGATGAACGATTTCCTTTATTTGTCTCGGATTTGTGTTCGGAAATTTCTCAGTTGTTGCGTCTGTAATGGAGAACATAGTTATTAAATTTCATCCAGACATTGATTCAACTGGCTAAATATAAAATAACAATTGACTAATTACAAATAAGTCCTCGGGCCAGCCTGGTTGACCCGAAGGATTCTTTGTCATTTGTTCCGCGCCAGTTGAGTAGTACGGCCAGCCTTGGAGCCAACGTCCGCGTAAGCACGTTGGTCAGGTACACTTGTACATCGCCAGCCTCCTGCAAGAGCCACCTTTCCACCTTTGTGAAATCAACAATCGTGACTACAAGTAATACTTACCAGCTGTGCACAGCGTGGACCATCTCTTAGATGTTCCTCATACTTTTGGAGATCATCCGCACTAAACCAAGACACACGCTATGCATGTAATCTGGTGGGAATCCGTCAATCATGGGAAAATTTAACTCCTCCATCGGACTTGGACCTATGTAGTGCTCTCTTGCTTCCTTATCCGGAAACCATAGTCACGACGCAAGGGAGCTATCAACGAGGGAAAAGTCATACGTGTGCCAATGTGTACACACTTTTGTGTACGATAATCACAGCCATAATATCCTGTATGTCCCTTCACTTGCTTCAGAAAGGCCCTAGCAGGACTATCACAAATAATGCACTGAAGACGGACGGTATGAGTATTGCAAACCCCGGAGACACCGTTCGCCAAGACGTCTGTCAACTCAGCGACCGTGTCAGACATCAGCTGATAAGCATCATTGGGTTTTTGCTTGCCACTGTTTATTCCCACGACAAAAGGCTGACCGTGAAAGGGTGAAATTATCCGGGAGAGTAGAGGCCACACTTGAGTACGCGAGTTGTTATAGGCCCGAATACCGTCAAGGTGTTGTTGCAGCAAACCTGGTTTCAACCCAAGGTGGATGTACATTCCACCGGCCTTCTGTCGCACACAGCAACGACGGGGGGTTTTCATTACAGTCCGTGAATCCTTCGGAAGAGACGGAAAAAAGTATCTGAGTTCGTCCAACATAACGGCCAAACCGGATAAAGGTAGGTTCAGCCTTCGCGCCATCCGACGAACAGCCGTTGAAATACTTTTTACCTGGTGTGAATGGTTTAAAAAGGATTCTGATATAAACCAATATAAGTGCAAGTAGAACATACGGACTGATCCCTTCAACGACTTGCAGTGGGCTACCTTATGGCAAAAAACAGGAACCGAAAGGTTCTCCAGAGACCGCAGCGCTGAATGTCTTTCTGGCTCCAAAGTCCTGATAACAGGGATCGGGGAAACCGCCGGCAAACATCGTGGTAAATCGCAGCCTGGTTTATCACCTGAAACGGTCAAATTCGGCATACCTACAGCCTATTATCTGATTAATCATGAATCTTACCCTCAGATAGTCGACTAAAGGCATTATGAACGCATTCCTCAGTCGGGCAACGAAAACAGCCACTTGCCGCAACCGCCTGTCGTACTTTCCTATGTAGCGTTGTTCTTGGAGAGCCTTTACGAGCAACACGAACAAATTTCGGGCGCATTGACGGTCACTTGAAATGAAAAATATTTTTTGCGGTTTCGTTCACGTAAACACACCAGGAACAAAACATTCGAAAGCACAAGAAAACTCACTCTCAGGCGTACGTGAGGACAAGCAGAACGCAGAGCTTCCCGCGAGCAATGGCGCCGCTCAATAAAACAAAACCACTTAAATCGGTTGACCGTTTACACTTCCTAGGCACACGGAAATGCAGGGTATTGTGGTTTTTTATTACTGTGAGACAAATAAAGAAGCTTTGATATCTATTAAACGTACATTTGGCCCGGTAGAGCGGTGTGAAATGAATCACGTCTAGGTGCTGTCCATGTGACCAGAATGAGGTTTCCAACCCCTTCTCCGTCCACTTCAATTGTTTTCTTCACAAGAAAATGTGGAGGCATCAAATGTTTCCTTTAGTCGACCAACCTATCCTTAGTTGTACGTGCAGCGATGCTGTCTTCCTCTGAAAGGGTCGGATAGTTCCAAAGCCCGTACGCTGCGATCACCTTAGGGTCTGACGTAACTACCAGCACCCTACCAATATAGTCGGAAAACAGCTAAAACCTACCAGGAGCCAGATGCGCGTCCAAACGCGTCTCCTACGCGAAGTAACATCAGAAGCTAGGCATCTAGAAACTACTTCATGCGTCCTCGGACTACGTCAGCCACTCCGGCGAAGTTTGTCGGATTATTAGACAATTTGCTCCGGAGAGTCTCTAACAAGCACTACCTCGCGGATAAGCCTTTTGAGTCAGAGGCTAGGAGATCCATCCGG